TTTATGTACAGTCATAATTTAAAGCATACTTTCAGGCGTTTCTTTTTCATGTGGTAAGCAATCAAAAGACAACATTTAAATGTATTGGCATTGAGTGCTTTAAGGAATGAATTTGAATAAATAATGCATTCTTTAAAGCCCTCAAGGCCAATAAATAGTGTCAATAAGATATTTTTATTCCTAAGTAGATAAATTTAGTTAGATTCAAGATTTTTGCGTGGAAAAATTATTTCAAAAATGTATACGGGGGATTGTCCATTTAGAAGAGGATCAATGGACAGACCCCTCATCAATGTGAATAATTTGAATAATAAAATAAATTTGGAAAAGAGAGGAGCTAAAAAACAAACTTTTTTTACACACTCGCATTCTTTTATACCGCATAGATATTTGCTATATTTATTAAGATTGTAATTTTTATTTTTATTCCAAGTAATAGGAGTTTTGAATAAAGCATATTCTGCCCATTAAAAATAAAAATCAATTTTTTTATATTGTATATATCAATATTGTATTTATTTTAACATAACAATTATAACATTATTGTGATGTGTGATAGTTTAAATACATATGGAGAAAATAGTTTTACACATATATGTATGCATATATAGTATAGTTATTCATTGTATATGGAATATATAAATTGTATATATGTATTTATATGTAAATAAAAATTTATTTTTTTATGTTTTCTTAATTATAGTTTTATAACTTTACACATAACAATATGGATAATAGGGTGCTATACATATATATTTTGACCTGAAAAAGAACAGGAGCGATATTCGACGCTATAGGCTACTTCACGAATTTTAACCCTTAAAATGCAATAATATTTTCCGAACAAAATAAATCGGTAACATTTTCAGTTTTTTTTTTCTTTTTTTGTAAGTTAAAATTGAATTATGGCAATAACTGACAGAAAACTTGATGTTTGGGGCACGATGTCAGTTGAAGAAATGTTCCTCATAAAATTTCACTATGGGTCTGTGAAGAAAAGGAATCTGTAACTGTAAGATATAACAATAATATATCGGTACAAACTTAATAATATAAAATTTTCCATTTTTTTTTGGGTTAAAATTGAATTTTGGCAATATCTGGCAGAAAAATTAATTTTCGGGCCATTGTGTCAATGGTTAAAATTGTAGGTTCAAAATTGAATTATGGCAATATCTGGTAGAACATTTGATTTTGGATGTACGTTGCCAATGGAAAAAATATTCTGCAGAAAATGTCACTATAGATCTCCGAACAAAAGAAATCGGTAACTGTATGATGTAGCAATAATATATGGGTATAAACTGCCTAATATAAATTTATCATTTATTTTTTAGGTTAAAATTGAATTTTGGCAATATCTGTTAGAAATTTTGAATTTCAGGGAACGGTGTCAATAGAAAAAATATTCTATAGACAATTTCACTATAGGTCTCAGAACAAAAGAAATATGTAACTGTAATATATAGCAACGATATATCGGACTTAATAAGACACATATATGCTGTTGTCTGGTATTTTTTAGGTTAAAATCGAATTAAGGCAATATCTAGTAGAATATTTTACCTTAGGGTCAGGGTGTCAATGAAAAAAATATTCTTTAGAAAATTTCACTATGGGTCTCAAAACAAATTAAATATGTAACTGTAATATATAACAATATTATATAGGTTTCAATTTCAGCATACAGAACAAGAAAACATATATTTTGCAGTTTTCAGGGTTCATTTCGTATTTTGCCTTTTTCTTTTATAATAAGTGATATTCGGAGGTTGGTATCAATGAGAAAAATATTCTATAGAAAATTTCACTACAGGTCTCCGAACATAAGACATTTGTAACTGTAATATATAACAATAATATAGGGGCTAATAACTGGGCAATTGCAATTTTGTTTGGTTTTTAAGGTTAAAATTGAAATTTTATAATATATGTTGGAAAAAATTGATTTCCAGTGCACAGTGTCAATGAGAAAAATATTCCTCATAAAATTTCACTATGGATCTTGGAACAAATAAAATCTGTAACAACGATAAATCAGATTTAATTTGGCTATAGAAAAAAGAAGACAAATATATGCAATTGTCTGTTTTTTGAGATTAAATTTGAATTAGGACAATATCTAGTACAATATTTTATTTTAGGGGCAGGGTGCCAATGGAAAAATTATTCTATAGAAAATTTCACTATAGGTCTCCGAACAAATGAAATCTGTAACTGTAATATAATACAATAATATATCGCTTTCAATTTTGGCATACACAAAAGAAAAATTATATCTTGCATTTTTTAAGGGCTAATCTCGAATTGTGGCATTTTCGTCAATAAAATTGGATTTTCCGAGGTTAGTGTCAATGAGAAAAATATTCTATAGAAAATTTCACTATGGGTCTCGGAACAAAATATGTCTCTTACTGTAATATATAACAACGATATATAGGATTTAATTTGGCTATAGAAGAAATAAGACAAATAAATGCAATTGTCTGTTTTTTAGGTTAAATTTGATTTAGAACAATATTTGTTAGAAAATTTGATTTTAGGGGCTCGGTGTCAATGGAAAAAATATTCTATAGAAAATTTCACCATACGTCTCAGAACAAATGAAATCGGTAACTGTAATATATCTGAACGATATATTGGATTTAATTTGGCTATAGAAAAAAGAATACATATTTTCCAGTTTTAAGGGTTAATTTCGTATTTTGCTATTTTCTTCCATAATAATTGATATTCCAAGGTTGGTGTCAATGAGAAAAATATTCTATAGAAATTTTCACTATAGGTCTCTGAACAAAAGAAATTTGTAACTGTAATATGTAGCACCGATATATCGGATTTAATTTGGGTATCGAAAAAAATAATACAAATATATGCAATTGTCTGTTATTTTTTTAGGTTAAATTTGATTTAGGACAATATATGTTTGAAAATTTTATTTTCAGGGCAGGGTGTCAATGGAAAAAATATTTTATAGAAAATTTCACTATAGGTCTCCGAACAAAAGAAATGTGTAACTGTAAGATATAACAATAATATAGGGACTAATAACTGGGCAATTGCAATTTTTTTTGGTTTTTTAGGTTAAAATTTAAATTTGATAATATCTGTTAGAAAATTTGATTTCCTGGGCACAGTGTCAATGAGAAAATTATTCTTCAGAAAATTTCACTATAGGTCTCAGAGCAAATGAAATCTTTAACTGTAGTATATAACATCGATATATCAGATTTAATTAGGTTATAAAAAAAATAAAATTTTTAGGTTATATTTGAATAAGGATAATATCTAGTAGAATATTTTATTTTAGGGACTCGGTGTCAATGGAAAAAATATTCTATAGAAAATTTCACTATAGGTCTCCGAACAAATGAAATCTGTAACTGTAGTCTATAACAAAAATATAGGGGTATAAAGTAAGCAATTACAATTTTTTAGGCATCTTTAGGTTAAGCTTAAATTATGCCCTTATTTATCGGAATATTAAATTCTAGCGGGATGGTGTCAAGGGAAAAATTATTCTTTATCAAATTTTACTACAGGTCATCGAATATGATATTCATGTAGATATAATATTTATCATTATATTATCCACGATATTTTAGATAAATAAAAAATAAAACAAGTTTTGAAGGTTATGTAGCCGAATTTCCCAAAGTCTCCCTAACAAACTTGATTTGAGCTTCCCGATCATTTTTAAATTTTTGTATATAGAATAAATTATGTTTTATATATATGTATGTATATTGTATATTACTTGTATATATTTACACAACATGTATGCGTATATTTTATTTATTTTTTTGGTTTACTGTAAACTGTCTTTAATTTAAAATTAATACAGAGTAGCTAACCACTTAGTTGTCATAGAGTAATACCCATATTTTTTTTATTTGTATAATTTTATATTTATATATATATGTATGTATATATCTTTCAATTTTCCTATATATCTTCCTCCTTTAGAAAATCTATTTCAGTTGTTCACCCTTTGATTTCTTTCGGCCAATAAATCTCTGACAAATTGCAATTGATGTTGAACCACCCTTTTGTTTATTTTCAGCTTCTTCTTCCCCCTCAATATCCTGGGACTGACGACCACCTGCTGTCCGCAAAATGGAATAATTTGTATTCTCACCACCATCCTGCTGCCGGCTGTGATGTATACCATAACCAAAATACATGAGCATACCCAATGAAACCCATATGAAGAATCTCAGCCAGGTTACAAAACTCAAATGGACCATAAGGGCAATATTGGCGAAAATACTGAGGGCCGGAAAGAGTGGAACCAATGGCACCTTAAATGTCAAGCCTTGGGTGTTTTGAGTATAAGCCCCAATCAGTGTCACACATGCCAGGGCGAAAAATAAAATAAAACCATTAAAGAGAAATGTCCAATACGAAGAATCAGCGGCACTTTCCGAATCTCCGGACCAATACATTTTCAATTGAAAACAAATGCCAAAGGTGAAAATACAAAATAACATAACACACGTCGACACAACACGTTCCGCTTCGAAGTTACCCACCAAAGGTTCTAGCCATTTATATTTGGCCTTCAGATAAACCCCCGATGTGGAATGGCCAATTAATTCTCCAGTTTGGGATATGGTATCGACACTGGAATCCTCCGATAAACTGTCTGCCTCATAATCCAAATTTTCACTTTCCGAAGAGTCGGGAGCATAAATTAAACTTTCCGCTTTCAGGGGGCGATAACGTAGAACTATAACACTGGCCGCCACAATGGTATAAGCCAAAAGGGTGCCGATCGACATGAACTCCACTAAATGCTTCAGATCAAAAACCAATGCGAGTAGGGCACTAAATGTCCCGGAGGCCAGTAAATTCAATACCGGTACCTGAGTCATTGAATTAACCCGACCAAAACAACTGAACAGCAAACCATCACAAGCCATGGCATAAAGGCAGCGGGGCAGGGCGAACAGTGAACCCAATAGGGTGGTGGTCATGCCACACAATGCTCCAATGGTGATGATTATTTTCGCCCAGGGTAAACCCAATTGGCCAAAGGCCTCCGGCAAGGATGCCGAGGGATTTATTTCATCTGTGGGTATCATCAGGGTAAGGGCAGCACTCACGAGAATGTAACCTGCCGAAACCGCACTCAACGACACCAAAGTTGCAATGGGCACTGAGCTGGCGGGATTTTTAGCCTCCTCCGCCGATGTGGCAATGGAATCGAAACCCACAAAGGCATAAAAACAAGTGGCCGCCCCTGCAATCACCCCACCAAATCCATAGGGTAAAAATCCACCATCAGCCTGGAACCAATTCTGGACATCGGCATACCAAAAACCCACACATATCACCAGGACCATAACCGCAATATTTATCAAGGTGAGAATGCCATTAAAGGCCGCCGTAATTTTTACCCCCAATGCCATGGCCAAGGCATAGAGGAGGCATATCAAGCAAGCCAAAACATCGGGATATTGGGCCAATAAATCCGTATCATAGTGGGCCTCTCCACCAATCAACGATAGGGTGGTATTTTTAATCCAACCTCCCAGCAAACTGTCGACATAACCACTCCAGGCTCTCGATACCGAGGCGGCACCCAACATATGTTCCAAACAGATGTTCCAGCCAATGATGAAGGCCCAAAATTCTCCCACCGCTATATAGGTGTAGACATAGGCCGCCCCTGCCTTAGGGACACGGGTGCCGAATTCCGCATAACATATGGCAGCCAATATGGAAACCAGGCCAGCCAGGAAGAAACTGAAGATGATGCCCGGACCCGCAATATCCTTGGCCACAGTGCCGGTGAGTACATAAATTCCGGCACCCACCATGTGGCCAATGCCTGTAAATAGAAAAATTTTTAATATTTTAATATTATTTAAAAAAAATCTTTTCCCTATTTCAGATCTCCTTCTTACCCAGCAAGGTAATATCCAAGGTGGATAGGCATCGTTTCAGGGTATCCTGAGAACGACCCCCATCATTTGGCAGCGATTTTTTGCGATTCATTTTCTCACATATGCTCGAGAGCACATGAGCCAATATAACACCACCCCGTTTTCCGGTCATTGTTTTTCAAGTGTTGACGTTCGATGTGGATGTTGTTGTCGATTTTAGATTTGTTGTCCTCCACCTCCACCTAAAGGTAAGTATGATGACCTTCCTTGATAATGTAATGAATTTTCATTTATGAACCTTTTGTTCCGATGTTTCTGTAAAAGTAAAAATGGAAAAGTTATTAAGTTAGGGGTATATATGAGGCAATCCATGGGGAAAAAGGACCCATCCCGACCATAAATGTCACGCTGTAATGAAAAAACAGCTTTCAATTAACCCTACAAATACTCCTAAGATGATTGGTATTGAAAATTACACATTTCGGATCATGTTTTGACATGGGTCCCATATACCGATTCCGCTCCATGTGGGGTATTTTAACAATACTAATCGAATTTTGCAAATAAAAGGTCCCAAATTTGGCATTTCGAATTCTTAAAGTGTAGAAAATCTCCTCGCAGAAATTTTTTGCAAAATAGGTTCACGTTTTGACATAGGTCCCATATACCGATCCCGCTTCATATTGCGTATTTTAAAGATACAAACTGTATTTTGCAATTGAAAAACCTTTAATTTGACATTTCGAATACTTAAAGTGCTGAAAATATCCTCGCAAACATTTTTGCAAAATAGGTCCATGTTCCGACATAGGTCCCTTATACAGATCCCTCTATATTTGCGTTATTTTTAAACTTTCAACTGCATTTTCCCCATAGAAGTAACTGCAATTTTACATTTTCGGCTCTGTGAAGGGAAAAATACCTACTCGCAAGATATTTGCATCATAAGTCCAGGTTTTCACATAGGCCATAGGTATTCGAATGTCCAAGGATGTATTTTCGAACCGAAATTATTTTAAATTGGCATTTTTGGTTACAAAAAATAAAAGAACCTCCTTGCGGATTTTTTTAAACAGGTCCATGTTGCGACATAACCTCATTTTAGGTATTTTTTTGAGTTCCTATCAGAATTTTTCAACTTATATGGCTATAATTACAAATATAGGTTTATAGAATCGCGTGCACCATGTTCGATTTATGTCGATTACGATTTTGATATAGCTTCTAATATAGCTACACATTTCGACATAGGCCCCACATGCAGAAACCGACAATTTTTTTGGCATTTCAAGGTCCTTGGTTTATTTTCCAAACGAAGTGATTGTAATTTGGTATTTTTGGGTACATTGAGGATATATAACCAGCTAGCGGACAATTTTGCAGGTAGATCCATGTTTCGACATAACCTCATTTTAGGATTTGTGAAGGTCGCTACTGCATTTCCCAACCTATGTGGCTATAATTTAGGATTCTAGTATCCTCACATAGCGTGTGTTATTTTCGATTTAATTCAATTCCTATTTTGATATAGCTTCCAATATGGATCCACATTTTGGCATAGGCTCCATATACAGAAATCGTCCTATTTTTGCCTATTTAATGGTCCTGATTGTGGTTTCTAACCGAAGTGTTTCTCATTTTGCATTTTTGGGTACTTTTAGGATATATAAAATTTTTGTAAGTGGGTCCATGTTTCGACAAAACCTCATTTTAGGTGTTTTAAAATTTCTTAGCAGCATTTGTCAACCTATGTGGCTATAATTAAAAAATTAGATAGACTCTTGAATTAAACCGATTCCGATTTTGATATACCTTCCAGTATAGGTCCCGACCATGTTTTTTAGGCATTTAAAGGTATTCCCTTTTCCAACAAAAGTGATTATAATTTGTCATGTTGTGTTCTTACAGTATAAAAGATGTCCTAGCGAAACATATTGCAGGTAGGTCCATGTTTCGACATAACTTCATTTTAAAAGTTCCAACCTATGTGGCTATAATTTAGTATTGAGGGTTCTAGAATCCTAACGTCGTGTACGTTACGTTCAATTTAAATCGATTTCGATTTTTGGGATATAGCTCCCATATATACCTTCGTCGGATTTTATGTAAATGTCACATAGAAGTCCCAATATTTGTTCGATTGACTCGAAATTTTGCACAGCGTAACGAATTGAGGTTAGAATGACGTGTGTCAATTTGGAAGTGAATCGATTCATATTTAGATATAGATACCCTTATAAAAATCGTCCGATTTCATCTAAATGGTGCATCAAAAGCCCTACGTTTGTTCGATTGCCATGAAAGTTTGCATAGCGTAACGAATTGAGGTTAGAATGACGTGTGTGAAGTTCGTTTGAAATCGGTTTAGATTTTGATATAGCTCCCATATATAACTTCGTCCGACTTCATGTAAATGACGCATCAAAGGCCCAAAATGTGTCCGATTGTCACAAAATGTTGCATAGCGTAATCAATTGAAGTTAGAATGATGTGTGTCAAGTTTGGTGTATATCGCTTCAGATTTAAATATAGCTCCCATATATAACTTCGTCCGATTTTAAGTAAATAGTTCCCCAAAGACTCTTAAGTTTGTCCGATAAACACGAAACTTTATATGAGTTATTGAGATAAGCCTAGAATGACGTATGAAAGGTTTTCTTCAAATCGGTTCATATTTAGATATAGCTGACAAATATAACTTAGTCCGATTTCATGTAAATTAGAAAACTAAAGGCCCTAAGTTAGTCCGATTGACACGAAATTTTGCATAGCGTGAGGCATTGAGGTTTCAATGGCCTGTGTGAAGTTTTTTTACAAGCGGTTCAGATTTAGGTATAGGTTCCATATAAGGAAGGCCTTAGAAAAATTATTTTTAAAAAATCCACGCCTCTTGGAAGGCCTTAGAAAATATTTTTAAAAATTTTCAAGATTCCATATGACATGGATTAACTCATATATATATATATATATATATGTATATTGCTTATATTATTTTATATATGTATGTATAACACTACATATGTTAACTTTTTGATATTAGGCACAATGGATGGATGAATGGATTTTTCTCAACGCACACATAAAACTTCAGTTTCTTTCTTTTTCCATTCTTTAAAAACTCAATTCCAATTTCACTTTTTTCCATCTCTATCTCCAAGTTATTATTAAATTATTTCATAATCAATTTATCCTGCTTCTTCTTCGTTTTATTATTATTAAATATCCTGCCTTTTAAGTGAGAGGTGTTGTTGTTGCTTTTCCGGAAGCTGTTGCCTTAGAGATTCAGATTTCAAAAACGGTTCTATATTTTTCTGATTTTTTTACCGACAACCACAAACGATGATGACAAACTGTTGTAGAGTTATTCAATGTCAATGATATGTTGGTTGGGAAAGAAAAGATCCAGACATGCGCAGAATTTAGTTGGTGGACATTTGACATCCTGTGTGTGAGAATTGTGGGTTGGTTGGCTGGTTGTTTGGACACATCAATGGACTTTGTTATCTATATGGGTTCGTTCGTTTGTTGGGTGTTGTTATTGTTGTTTTGGTTGTTCTCTTCAACTCACTTGTTGAACAAACATGTGTTTTTTCTCCGTCTGTCTGTCCTTGTGGGCCAAGTATTTTTTTTTTTTTTTGATGTGGATTTCCGCACAGCTTTTATGCCAATATAAAAATTCCGAAATGTTCGGTTTTGTGAATGAATTTTTACGACAATGGGGGAGTAGCATTGGGTGAAATATATGTTTCGTTTGGGAAATTTTTGGTTTTTAGGGTATCAAAGACATCGTTAAAGGGGGAGGATGGGGTTGGAGTTTTATTGCAAGCCGATTATTTATGACCTGACACCAAATAACAATCATATTTACAATAAAATTTATTGCTACTAATTCTTGTCAAATATTTTAGTGCAGTTCCCCTTCCGTTTTTAACAAGACAACAGACAGTAGGGAAAGGGGTAAAGGAGGAAGGCATGATACATGATGAATATCTATATTGAAGGCCTTTTACGGTATAGAGAAGGCCTTCAACAGTTCTTTTTGGGAAAGAAAACCTCAGCAAGACTGGACTTATAATGTAGAAAAATACTTGAATTAGAAAACATAATTGTAATTGCAAATATTTTTGATGGCAGAAAATAAATTGAAAAAAATATCGTTCAGATTTCAAGGCAATTTTCATTATTTGTTTATCTATCCTTGGAAATTTTCTCTGCTCCTTCCTATAGAACATTTTATTAAGAATCTTTCAGCATTTGAATGAGAAAAATCCATTCAAAACTTTTCGAGATATGTAGATTTTAGTGAATATATCTCATAATTAATAACAATCATACGCACTATGGGTCCGAAAAGAAAACTGCGAAAATATTGAAATAAAAAAATATTATAATACGAAATTACTTTTGTATTCAGACCTTAAAAAATATTTTTTTGAAGTCTACGCCTTGTAAAAGGTCTTAAAAGTATATTTTCTTAAGTCCACACCTTGTAAAAGGTCTTAAAAAAATTTTAAATCCACGCCTTGTAAAACGTCTTAGAAACATTTTTTTAACTCACGTCTTGTAAAAGGAATTAGAAAAATATTTTTCATATCCAGGCCTTGTAAAAGGTCTTAGAAAAATATTTTTAAACTTTTTTTATGCCTTAGAAAAATAATTTTAAAAAACTATGCCCTATGTAGGCATTTCAAAATTATTCTTTAAAAATCCACTTTGTTATTAGGCTTTGGAAAATGGCTTAGAAAAATTATTATTTGAAAAATCCACGCCTATGATAGGCCTTAAAAAATATTCTTTGAAAAATCCACGCCTTTGATAGGCCTTAAAAAATATTCTTTAAAAACTTCACACCTTCGATAGGCCTTAAAAATATTCTTTAAAAAATCCACGCCTTTGATAGACCTTAAAAATAATTCATCCTAACCTCAATTTCATGTCAATCGGGCAAACATCGTGTCTTTGGCGCAGCATTTATTTGAAATCTAAAGATATTAACCATGCTATATCTAAATCTGCACCTATTCTCAACCTTTTTCAATAGAAATCATCCTTCGCTTCTGTCATATAAATAAATTGTGCCAAATTTCATCTCAATTAAATAATAATTTGTTTACAACTCCTCTAACAAAATTCAATCTATTCTGAAATAAATAAATTTTTATTTATTTTTTAATTTGTCCCTAATTA